CCCCCCCCCCCCACACACACTTTTAGGTCTAACAACTTATTGTTCTTTGCCAATGTTACTGACATTTTGGATTTTATGGTTTACATAGTTAATTTCTCAATTGTTTGGTAAGTAACTGAACCAAATGTAGTCCCCTTATTGTTTGTTAATTCAGAATAGAGGTGACTCTCTGCAAACTGCTGGATTTTGACTCTGCAAAATAGTTTTTGCTAATTCCATATGGAGAATGGACTTCAATTTCAAAGGTTGTGCTGTGTCCAGAGCGTTAAATTGTTATCAATCTTTGGAGTTGTGATTGCTGTTATTGCGCTGCTATCCCAACTACTTGCACTTCCATATGAAAATTACATTTCTGTTTTATCAAATGCTGGAAGCTCGACTATTTGGCCAGAAAAGAGATCGTATGCAAATTCAACAATAGGCTTTCATTTGAACATAAATATATATTCGATACAAGGGGAAATAAGGAATCAATCGGCTCAGCTTTTGCAGCTTAAGTCATCTGCAGCTCCTCCAGTTGGTTGGGAGAATGTGATTTCAGATACTGGTAATTCAATTTCATCTGATGTAGCCAAGACGTCCGTACCATTTAATGATAAAGGGCTAATTAAAAATCAGACAACGGATGCCAATTCTAATTTGTTACGAGCTGCTGGTGCCTCTATATTGCAGAGTAAAAGAAGAAGAAGACCGACATCAATCTCCTACATGAACTCTTTACTGCTGCAGAATTCTATTAGTTTAGTGGTATGACTGTTGCAGATGTCAATTCTAGTCAGAGTGGAGATTAATTATCAATTCATTTTTGTTATCTAAACTGCTTGAATTGCTGGTTGTAGAGATCACAATGGCATTCTGCACGTGAACTGGAACTCCGAAATGCAAAGTTTCAGATTGAAAATTCTCAGATAATTAGAAACGTTCCAGAAGTTCATGCATCTATCTTTCGAAATTATTCCAAGTTTACGAGGTGACTGGATTTACTTTTGATTCTTAGTTACTACTTAATATCAATGTATTCATGATTTTAATGTATTGTGAGATGCTTTATCTAGGTAAGTTCTACAAACCGGTAGTTAGACCGACTATGTTGTATGGGGTTGAGTGATGGTCAGTCAAGAACTTGCATATTTAGAAGATAAATGTAACTGAAATGAGGATGTTGAGATGGATATGCGGGTACACTAGGTTGGATAAGGTTAGGATTGAGGCGGGCGAAGGTGGGCGTGGCTTCCATGGAGGACAAGATGCGAGAAGCGAGGCTTAGATGGTTCAGGTTTAGATGGTTCGGGCCTAGATGTCCCAGTTAGGAGGTTGGAACTGTTGGCTTTGGCGAGTATGAGAAGAGTAGAGGACGGCCTAAGAAGTATTGGAGAGAGATGATCAGGCAGGACATGGCGCGACTCTAGCACGACATGGCCCTTGATAGTAGAGTGTAGAGGTCGAAAATTAGGGGAGAAGGGTAGTAGGTAGTCGGTCATTTTTCTGATCTTTTCCGGGTTGTTTAGGGCTAGTCTGTTAGTATCTTGTCGTTGTTCTTTGATTGCTAGTATTATGGTTGTTTTCTAACTATCTTCCGCTTCAATTTTGTAGTATCTTGTCGTGGTTACTGCTTGTTGCTATTGCTATCGCTATTGCTGGTGCTATTGCTTTCTTCCATCTACTTTTCTGGTCCTTACATTATTATTATCATTTTTCTGGCTATTGTTGTTGATATTTGATTGTTTTCTATTCATCCTCTCGAGCCGAGGGACTTTCGGCTGTTATATCTTAGTAGAGATATGAATAGGATTGCAACGCATTTATTCATCACTAAAATCTTCTCGAGTTTTCCTGCTCCTGCAATATAGTGCAAATGTAGCTATAACATTATGAATTTGGCAAGTTGGAAAGGAGGCTTGAGAAAAGTTTATCAACTGGGGACGTTGCTTCCTTAATGTGAAAATATCGAGGAAAAAAAGCAAAGGGATCTATTCACCTCCCTTCATCTTCTTAGTTCCATGATGCAGACTAAATGTATGGTTATATTCTTTTCTGCTTAGTTTTGTTTCAAGGTGACCCACCTGTTGGAGGTAGTATCCTGTGCCCAATGAATAGAGTTTTTGCATTTGTTGGTATGAGATTGTGATACATTATAACCAATTGAAAGACGTTTTCAATTTGTACTTTCATCAAGTCAACTAATCAGCCTTGGTTTTGGGAAAAGCATGCACCAGATGTTGAATTCTTTGATCCTTTTGCAGGAGCTATGAGCTGATGGAACGCCTCCTTAAAGTTTATGTTTATAGGGAAGGGGAAAAACCAATATTCCATCAGCCATATCAACGAGGTATTTACGCTTCTGAAGGGTGGTTTATGAAACTGATGGAGAAAAACAAACAATTTCTTGTGAAAGATCCCAAAAGGGCTCACTTATTTTATTTGCCTTTTAGTTCTCTGAGGCTAAGACAAGCTCTTTCAGAGCAAAATTTTACTCATCAGAAAGATTTGGAAAATCATCTCAGCAATTACATTGGAAGAATTTCTAGAAAATATCATTTCTGGAATAGAAGCAAAGGGGTTGATCATTTTTTTGCTGCTTGTCATGATTGGGTATGGTTTTTCTTGAGCTCTATCCCATTATGATTGTTGCATTAGATGGTGTTTTGGCAGTTAATTGTGTCAATCTACTCATTCTGCCCGGAAACCTCTTTCTGACAACTTTAGGAAAGCAAATTAAAACAGTAAGGGAGTTTTTTTTTTTTTCTTTTTAATAAAACGTTAGTTGTATAAAGATATAGTTTTGTTTTTGATTCTTTCATTTCTTTGGAAAAAGGTAGAATGTTGAAGAATCATAGGACATTTTCTGAATCTGCAACTTGGACGGTGTCCTTTTTTACAAATCTGGAGTACTGTCAGGTGGCAATCTATCATTCTTTTTCTAAAAGTAAAAGCACATTATAGGCACCCCGACTCACGAGGAAGAGCATGGAAACTTGTGTTAGAGCTCTCTGCAATTCAAATATAGCTGGAGGCTTCAAGATAGGGAAGGATGTCTCTCTTCCAGTAACTTATGTTCGTTCAGCTGAAAACCCGCTCAAAGATCTGGGAGGAAATCCTCCTTCAGCAAGACCTGTCCTTGTCTTTTTCGCTGGAGGCATTCATGGTTATCTTCGTCCTATCTTATTGCAACATTGGAGTGACAAAGAACCTGATATGAAGATTTTTGGACCTATGCCTCGTGATACTGAAGGTAAAACTGAATATAGAAAACTTATGAAAAGCAGCAAATATTGCATCTGTGCCAGGGGTTATGAAGTACATACTCCAAGAGTTGTGGAGTCCATACACTATGAGTGTGTACCTGTGATCATATCAGATAATTATGTGCCACCTTTCTTTGAGGTTTTCGACTGGGAATCATTTTCTGTCTTTGTTTTGGAGAAAGATGTTCCAGACTTGAGAAACATTCTTCTCTCAATTCCTGAGGAGAAGTACATGGAGATGCAGCGTAGGCTGAAGATCGTTCAACAGTATTTCCTTTGGCACAAAAATCCTGTAAAGTATGACTTGTTTCACATGATCCTTCACTCAATTTGGTATAACAGAGTATTTCAGGTAAAATCTGAATAAGGATGTCAAAGGGCTTGAGGATTTTTGATATGGAGGGACATCGGTAGGAGCAAATCCCGATAAAGGACTTCGCATAGAGTAGAGCAGAGGAAACACACATATCCCAGATGATTTGAACGCTTGAAAGATCATATTCTGTTCTATGCGTGAAACTGCCTGGTAACTGCTTAAGCTTTAATTAGTTGCTATTGTTGGCGAGCTGAACGTAGCAGTGTTGATACCTGATAGTATCGTTCTTCTTTGCAGCCTCGTGTATACTTGTCTAATGCTCTAATAATTTACCTATTGTTGCCATTTACCTATAGAAGAACTTCCTAGCTATCTTCCTAATGCATTTTCCATACTCGCCACATTTCTCTCAAGTGGATTGACACTGAAATTCTTTGCTAGCCTGACAGTTCATTTGCTTCATTTTCTTTTCTCTTTTTCTTAATCTTGTTCTTGCGTTAGTGCATTGTAGAGCCGTTGGCCTTAAAGTATCGCAATGGAATTTATGATCCTTTTTTTCCTTCTCTATGTGAAAGTGGAATTGATGATCCGATGCATTATAAGAAATTTTGCTAATTTACAAACATCGTAGCGAGATTTCTTTAAATGGCTTTTCAGTTTTCTTTGGTCTGATCAAGATCAGTAGCAAGATAATTTTGGGCATTAATATTGTTTTTTATCCTTATACTATTCTACTACTGCACCAAACAGGCTCTAAAGGAACATTAGTAACTGGTTTTGCTAGTTGAAGCTTCCTGGTTATCATTGTACTTCAAATTTTTAGGGGAAAGCTTAAAGCGAAAATACAACACGAATTAAATTAATACTCTTTTTTCTGGTGTTCTTTCATTGGGTAATTTTGGTAGAAAACAAATAATTTTTTTCCTTTTAGAAAACGATGGTTTACAATAGTAATTTATAGCATTAAACTAATCATCACAAATAACTTTTATATATTACAATATGAATCATTTTTATTATTAAATGACAGGTTGAAAAATGCACTTGGACAAAAGAAAGAGCATTTCTACAAAGTATTGGAAGAAGAATTAACGTGGATAGCATTAAATCGTTCTCCTTAGAGAGATTCCATTTACTGGGAGTTTAAAAAGGTTTCAATAGATCATCTTGACATAAAAATTAGATTAGTGAAAGTAATACTAATTCCCCTAAAATTTAATTCAGATCTCTCTCACCAAAAGTTTTATACTATTCTAAGTAATAAATCCTCTAATAGGGACAGTAAAAACTCGAGACAAATATATGCAACTGTAGTTTGATCAGTCGTTTTTAGCCACCATATATTACTAAACTAAGATTTTCAAAGTCCCATGAATGTTAGATGATCAACCCGAAGATAACAATTAGGAAGAAAAAGTAGGTAGCACAACATAGTTGTATTTGCACTTATCCCTTCTCATATTGAGCAAATGAACTAACCAATTAAAACCAAAATTTTACATTCTAGAAAGAATAAAAGAAGCAAATACTCCACTATATATGCATGCCTTTCCCAGAGCCTGACTTGCATTACAAAGTATAGCATTTTTAGATATAATTAACTCCTAGCTAGCTAGAAATGGAAATGAAATACCTGACCCTAATGCTAACAATGATGACAGCTATGGCTATATTTGAAGGGGAATTGAGTATGGCCAATCTGATGGAGGTGAAATGTATACAAGTTTGCATGAACGAATGCAAGATAACTGGTATAGCAACTGCTGCCTGTCTTAAATTCTGCCCACTTCACTGCGTTCCACCTACGCCTCCCTCTGAAGTCCGCTATTGCAATCTCCGATGCATTCTTGGACATTGTGTTGACTACAAGAATGGTATTTCATCCGTTCCTTTTTACTTGTCATGTTTAACTTGGATAATATTGTTGTCAAAAGTTAGTACGTCGTTCTACGTCTAGTGTGAAATATGTACACATTGTTTGCAAGTACAAATGACTGCATTTGTATGCACATAACACATCCATCCACAGAGCTAGACTATGACCGAACCCAGAAATTTTGATCGAAATTAAATTATGTGTTTATCTTGGAAAATTCATTGAATATATATAAATTATTACATATTGTTTTAGTTTGACTTGACACAAATTTTAATAAATAAATAAAGACTTTTGAAATATGCGGTCTTAAATAAGTCATAGCATTTGTGTGACAGTAAAACTTTTGAAACTTGTGGTCTGAAACCTGCCATAACATTTATGTGGCTTTAAATGCTTCCTATTAAGGAAATATTGAAAGGTGTTAATCTTTTTGGAACAGACTAATAAGGAGATAGTGTCAATCTTTTTTAGACATGTGAAATATTAATTTAGAATTCAGTAACTTAACAGTACTAGAACCCTAAACCTATAAACTTCAAATCCTGGCTCTCTGTTCATCGTTTGGAAATATTATGTGAAGCCAAAAGTGGATACTTTCTCCAGCATTTTCTACAGTTAAATCTATTTGAACAAACTTGAACAAGTTTCTGGACAAGCTTGTTGGACATGAAGAATAGTTCTCCACATCAATATAATGACTTTTTAGGAAAAATAGTATCCCGACGATGAATTTTTCTTGAATTTTTGAAATATTATATTTTGCTGACAATTTTTTTATGTAGTTTTATTTTCTATAAATGAATTTTCATCTCTTCAATTTGGTGCTTATATATCATTGCAGATGAAGAGAGACTGGAGGGCTGCGTCTCCAGCTGCCGGAAGAATGATCATTGCTAAATTTCTAGTTCTATAATGACACAGCTTACCCACACAAAAAAATGCCTCATAATTCTAGTCCTCTATTTCTGTTTATTTTTCTTTTAATTAGTGAGTTTCAGCTTTCAATTCTGTCTAAAGAATTTGGATCATATGATACAGACGTTATATAACTGCAGATTTTATTTGGTGGGAGTTCCAGTGAGAATATTTGCTAATAGTTTTTTCAAATTTGTTAAATTAATGGATCGATAGAAAACGATCAGTTATAAGTTTGTGATATTAAGCTGTTGCTACATTGTAACATATGCAAGTCTACACCAAATATCAAAAGGGTCTTAATTCAGAACATTTATTCTTAGTTGCGCGCGCAACTCATAAGATGAAGTCATTCTTGACCCTAATTACTTGCTTAAGACTAATCTAAAGCAACTGCAAAATAGTTCTTTAGGGATGCTACACCTGTTCTAATGATCCAATTTTATATTTAAGAAGTTAAGCTTATTACTGAAAATTCTCTTTAGCAAAATACAAAATTGGCTGGTTGGTTGAAACTAATTGCATTGGCTAACCGAAAAATATATAAAATATGAATATTTTTTGTATATAATATATACACATATATAAAAAAAATTATTTATTATGTCAGCTATAAATATACATTTCTCAATTATTTACCTAATGCAAGAAAACAAAGGTTAATAAATTATCCCATTCTTTAGCCAATACCGAAAAAGTAATGAAGAACAAGCATATATATGATCCATCTCTACTCTTCAATAACAAAATAAAGTCTTCCACTTGGTCCTAATAGGCCCGTGCCCCCCATATTAGGCTTTAATTTCTTGGTCTAATATGTTGTTTACTTTTACTTGTCCATTATATTAAAAAAAGATATGCGGTTAAATGAGTGTAGTTAATTTTATGAAACCTTTAACACACTATTTCTCAAATTAAATATGATAATTATAATTTTTGTTCTGTTACTTCAGTGTCAAAATTTGATAACATCAGTAGGAAAGTATAACGTTAAATTGCATTTATAGGAGTGCAATTAGCTTGTTTCTCTGAAATTGTAGAAATTATGCATCCATTCTTAATACGAGCAGAATAAACGAATGATACTTTTAAAACTTGACTCGATAAAGAAAAAAACATTACATTATCGACCTCTGCGAAAATAGCAGAGAGAAAACTAACATTCACTTTATGTTTCTTAAAACAGATATACAATAAGCAAATATAAAAATAGCTTTCAAAAGAAGAGGATTAATTTATTCTAATTGAGAACTCAACATACTTGTTACTACGTTAATAAAAAAATTGAAAAAAAAAAACAGATCTTTTTATACTAGTAAAGCAGTTCAGCACTTGTAAAATCCAAATAATTTTAATTAAACCGCAGCTTCTCTTAACAGTGATATTAAAACTTTATCATATCTACTATTTCAAAATATTTTTCAGATGAACCTCACTTCCAACAAGCGCTGACTACTGCAATATCGGACATCATTTTTTAAACTCCCTATGAAGATTTCTAGGTGTTATTTATATTTGGAGAAATTATATCATGTAACTCTTATAGTCAGTTGACTAATATCAGATAAATAACACCTCATTTCTACTTTCATTAAAAAAAAACAATGATCTCAATTTGCCTCGAAGCTTCAAAGGAATATGCGTCAATAGCTTCATTTATTTTCGAATTGTTGCATAAGAATAATTAGTTATGTGTGTCATATAATTTAGGGAACTTTACATAACTGTCACAATTTAAAAAGAAATATAACAAATTCGTAGCATGAAATTCAATATTACAGTTGTGGCAGAAAAATATTTATATTTGTAGCACACAATTCAATTAAAATAGGAATATTAATTATTAATCTCTAAACATAAGCAATTTGAATGGAAAGTCAATAATTCTCTGTACAAAAATCATGCCTTTTTTTCTCTTTATCTATTAGCTTTCCTTCTTTTTCTTTGTCTTCTTAATTTTATTTTCTGCCGAATCCAATATATTTTCTAAATTTGTTCCATTCGTTTTCTTTTTAATTATCTTTCTTAAGCTTTTCTCTTCCTTCTTTCTTCCTTTCTTAATATAAAGATCTTACTTCGATAATAATATACGTTAATATATACAAAACATATATAAAAAATATATATATTGAATTAATACATATAAAATATACAAAAAATATACATAAAAATACATCTTTAATTAAGATGACACTTAGACATGTGAAATATACATAAAAAATATATCTTAAATTTAATTAAGATGGCATATAAATATACAAAATATATATAAAAAAAATACATCCTGAATTAAAATGGCACTTGACATATAAAATATATTTGAAATATACATTAAAAATATATCTTAAAATAAGATGGCACTTCACAAATAAATATACAAAAATTATATACATGAAAATACATTTTGAATTAAAGTGATACTTGATATACAAAGTATAAAAGACGTATAAATCAATACATCTTGAATTTATGTGGCATTCGCATATGCATAAGATTTTAAAAAATGGAGCGAAAAAGATGAATGTTGGGTTTAATTTTGGTAATATGCTAATAATAAAAAAAAATGCTCTTTATGATATAAACAATAAATGATGTTATTTTTTTAAATAATAGTTAAAAAAGGATCAAGTATGTAAGAAATTTTATACTACTTTAGTCTATGAATGCTGCCCAAGATAACAAAGGCGGTGAAAGTGGATCCATTAGAAAGAGAAGTAGGCTCAAATATCCGCCAAAGAACCTGTCAAATGACGTTTGGGATCCTGGCTAAGATAAGGCTAATATGGATATAAAATGGGGAAACTGCGGAGAAGATCCTTATGAAAATACCGAGTCTTCTCTTTAATTTGATTTAGGTCTTGTCGGAGCACTCTGAAACCTCCCTCCATTCTTGTTTTCCTTTTTTAGTTCATTTTCCTTGTATCCGATATTGTTTGTCGTTGGAATCAATCTCTATCTTCTTCAGTAAATATGGATCCATTACAGACACCCAGATGCTGCAATTACATAACAAATTGCTACACCTGTTCTGATATATCCCGCAATTAATTACACAAACTAAGGGCATTAGGTTCCAAATAACTACATTGGATTGTTAGTTAATTTTGGATCTTGTTGCTTGAATTCGACGTATACTAATTATCCTACTGAAGTGGGAATGCTGCACTGTGCTCATTGGTTTAAACTTTAAACCTCATTAAAGCTATTAAAGCTAAAAAACCAAGGAAATATAAACACTGATCCGAGGTTGGTAATAGAATTAACCTGAACCAACTTTGTTCTTTTTTTTGTAACCCGCTGAATGATCAGTTACTAATAAAACGGGTAATGCATTGGAAGGGGGGGAAAAGGGAATGGATTAGAAGAAGTTGAACCTAATAGTATATTTTTCTAAGATATCATGGAAGGATAAGACTTATCAACACACTATACAAAAAGTCAAAAAGTGTCTCGCATATATATATTTTACAGTTTTTCCTTTTGCATTTCTTGGATATGTTTAGTATGGGTACATAGGTCGGATTGATTCGCATTTTTCAATTATCAAACTAAACCAATGGTGTCGAGTTTTTAAATTTATAAACCAAACCAAACCAATAAAGTCGGGGTTTTCAATCTCGTTTTTTCTCAGATTTTTTCGGATTTTCAGATTTTTTTCTGCAAAGTCTTCGTAGCATAAAATATGTAACTTGTACTCTAAATATTTTTTAAGTCCTAGTAAAATACAACTATTTAATGTATTTTCCAAGAAACTAACACAATAATATGGTCATAGCATTATACTAAAATATGAAAGTACAAGAGGGGGTGAATTGTACCCTGTTAAAAAATTTCTAGTCGACTATGGTATGCACTTAGTCGACTGATACGGAGACAGCCTACACAATATTGTTAGTACTTCGATTCAATCAAATACTAATCTGAACAAACAGTAATTGCTTATAATAACATATAAAAGCAGTAAGATAATTGACACCATGATTTTTATACTGGTTCGGAACCAATGTGGTATCCTACTCCAGTTTCCTTGGGTTGCAAGGATGTTATCACCTGATCTCTTTATAATATGAGTTGTGTACATCTTGTGTGATTTTCAACTTTCACCACCAACGTTTACAAGGTTAGTTTTTACTCGCTCACTAAGAACGAACAAGGGTTGGTTTTAACACGCTCACCAACAACGCAAAAGGTTGGTTTTTACTCGCTCACCAACAACGCAAAAGGTTGGTTTTTACTCGCTCACCAACAACGACTCTTTGGTTTTCACTCGCTCACCAAAGTAACGAATAATGACACAACCTCTAAGGACACACTGCCTCTCCAATACTTTTCAGTCTCTCTTCACTCTTTTGTGTACACAGTAAATCTATTAAAAGTAAATTTCAATGCTTGTTAAGAGTAGAATAAAGAACTTGTAGTTGGATAGTGGAGTTGCCCCGAGGGTAACCTCATAATAGATCGGGCTCGAGCTCGAAAATAGAACATCAAGTCTAGAGATCGAAGTGTTCATTGAGATCGAGGCCAGCAACAATCGAGATCAAGCATGACTGACGTCGAGTAAGGCGTAATAACGGAATGGTGAGATATCAGTAATCGGTCGAAGATCACGGCAGAAATTCTGGAACAGATCAAATCAAAGCAGTTATTAGTGCCAATCATGGGATCTACTTCCGTTATTAGAGTTGTACCTTATTTAGGATTCCTCTATTATATAAAGAGGGATCTCATTTACTTGTAAGGAGAAGAATCATTATTCACTGATAAGAATATACATATACGCTGCTTTCTTTGTTTTACTTATTGTTCATCATTGTTCATCGTTGTTTGTTCCATCATCTACTGTTCTTATTAACTAACCTCGAGACTATCTCGAATCGAGGTTGAGGCATTGTTTGCAAATCGGTTTGATTTATTTTATTATCCAATTTATCTATTTAGTTCGTTATTTATCAATTGGTACTGGGTTAAATCATATATCCTTAAAACCACAATATAAGTTTAATTGTTACTCAATTTTTAGGGTAAACAGTTTGGCACCCACCGTGGACAATTCAACAGTATCCAAGGCTTCTTTACAATCAACCTCGAATACTGGAAGGCATCACCCTCGGATGTTACACTTTTGAGGAAAATACTTCGTGTCAAAGGGTCTTGAT